ATCTTATACCGCAATGCACCGCATACCGGGCATGCGTTCAGATCCTTGTATGCACCGCGGTAGAGGATGCAGTCATTAGGGCATGCATGTATCTTCTCCACCTCCAATCCTAGAGGGCATACGACCTTCTTTGCTGCGTATGTACTGTCGGGCAATTCGTTATCCTTTGGAAGCTTCTTCTTCAATATTTTCAGTAGCTTCTCAAATCCGTTGTCAGCCACAGCATTCTCTGCCTTCCACTGCAGCAATTCCAGTACGGTACCGAGCTTTGTGTTGCCATCTTCGCAATTGGGGTATAACCCTTTTTTGTGATCCTCTAACATGCGATCGAACTTCAGCTTCTCCTTTTGACTTTAGCATTGCGTCCTTGCATCGACAATGATCCGGCGGAGATCATCATCATCGGGCACATCGGCTTGTTCCTCTTGATCTTCAGCAGCTTCACCCGTTGCAGCATAATTGGGCACATCGTCTGGTTCCTCTTGATCTTCACCAGCTCCCCCCGTTGCAGCATCACCGTATTCAGGGGGCACATAGTTGTCATCGTAGTCTTCTTCTTTGCCGTCTTCCATCATAACCCCTATTTCTCCGTGCCTCGTCCAAACATTATAGTGTGGCATGAAACCCTTGTAAAGCAGGTGGGAGTGAATGATTTTCCAGTTAGAGTAAGACCTCGTATTCCCACATTCAGTGCATGGACAACACATAAAACCATTCTGCTTGTTTGCCTCAGCCGCATCGAGAAACTCATGCACGCCCTTAATGTACTCGCGGGTGTGTCTGTCACCGTACATCCATTGCCGGTTCATCTGCGTGCATTATATATAATTAAGTGTCCAAATTAATAAAAGTTCATCATCACATTAAAACCAAAGTGCATACATAGTTTTCATCTAACAACATATAGCTCTCCAGAGCATCTAATTAATTAAACCATACATTGAAACTATGTAAAACATTTCAATGCGAAAACAAATGCGATCATAATCGCAACCAAGGTAACAATTGATCCAATGGCATAATGATACCAAGCCTCGGTATGAATGGCATATTTTCTAATCTTTCTAATCTTCAAGCGCATTGCATCCATCTTGATCTTGTGATCATCGACGACATCCGCAACATGCAACTCCAATATCATCTTCTCCTCCTCAATTTTTTTATTTTTTCCTTCAACAAATTGTTTTATTCTTCAACTAAATTTAACCTCTCGACAATAGGGTCGGTTGGCATTTCTGATTCACATACATCCTAGATAAATAAAATCTATGTCACGTTGGTCGGCATAATTTTCATAAACAATAAATGAACCAATAGTTATAAAGATAATATACATACCACATCCGAATCATAGACAGGACGAGGGCCGACGGGGGCGGATACCAAAACCATCGCACTATATAAGATGCAATAATAAATGTAAGAAAATGATACAAGTATTTATCTAAACATACAAGTAAGAATATTTTTCCTTTCAGAAAGAAGAGAAGAACAAGAGGCTCACCACGGTGGTGTCGGTGATGAGATCGGCGCGGGTGATCGATAGCGGTGAAGACGGGGACGGGGCGTGACGGACCGCTAAATCTAGACAAATCTCGAGGAAAATGGAGTTTGGAGGTCGAGCTTCGAGAGGAGAAAGCTTAAGTAGTGTGGCTCGAGCATTCCATCGAACACCTCATGTGCATAGGAGGTGAGCTAGAGCACCACAAAGCCCTCTCCCCCTCGGCCAGAGAAAAACAGAGCACTGGGGTGCTTTGCTCGTGAGCGAGGGGTATATATAGACACCTCATTGGTCCCGGTTGGTGACATGAGCCGGGACTAAAGGGGAGCCTTAGGTCCTGGTTCAAGCCACGAACCGGGACCAATGATGGTGGGCCAGGAGCAAGGCCCATTGGTCCCGGTTCGTCCCACCAACCGGGACCAAAAGGGCCAGATGAACCGGGACCAATGGCCCACATGGCCCGGCCGGCCCCCCTGGGCTCACGAACCGGGACCAATGCCCACATTGGTCCCGGTTCTGGACTGAACCGGGACTAATGGGCTGACCCGGCCTGGACCAAAGCCCTGTTTTCTACTAGTGGACTGATCCAAGATCCGTAATCTTTGTGTGCGCATGTTCTCAGTGCAAAGTATTACCCCGATGGTAACATTCTTAATGCTGGCCCTAAGAAAGGCTCTTCTTATACTTGGAAGAGTATAGTATCACGAATTCAAACATTTAAGAGGGGGTTTATTTGGAGAGTTGGGACAGGTTCTAATATCAATATTTGTCTAGACCCATGGATACCGTCAAGTGCCTCGCGCAAAGTTATAACACCGAGGGGGCAGATTATGTTGTCCAAAGTTGAAGAGCTCATAGACCCGCACTCGGGCACATGGGATGAAGCCTTATTGCAGTCCGTGTTTAATCCAGTCGATGTGGAAAGGATAATAAGGATCCCTCTTAATGTGAGTATTGTTGACGATTTTGTGGCATGGCAGTTTACACGGTCAGGAACCTTCTCAGTCCGTTCAGCATACCATACAGAGTTCAATCATCAGTTTGGCTCACGCGCTTCTCCTGCTAATGGACAAGGAGGGTCTGTAGTAAATGGCATTTGGAAACATTCGTGGAAACTCCGAGTTCCTGGCAAGATTAAGCATTTCGCTTGGAAGGTGCTCAGGGGCGTTCTGTTATGCTATGGAGTTCTCGCGAAACGTCATATCCCGGTATCTGGTCAATGCCCGGTTTGCAAAGTTGGGTTTGAAGATATTCAACATTGTTTATTCTTGTGTTGCCGTGCTATGGAAGTGTGGAAAGAATTAGCCCTGAATGCGGTGATCAACCAAGCAGCAATGGAGGACCACTCGGGATCAGTTACCATGGAGATTTTATTACGAAACCACTCGTCAATTGGTTATCTTCCAGCGGCTGAGTTGATTACGGTGGCTGCGTGGTATATTTGGTGACAACGTCGCCAGTTTGCAAAGGAGGAAACGATTTTAGATGCACACCATTCAACTATTTCAATTAAGGTCCTAGCGACGAACTATGTGCGAGCAGCAACACCCAACCAACCAGTTAGAAAGAGAGATCAAATGTGGAAGAAACCAACCAGGGGGAAGGTGAAGATCAATGTGGACGTCTCTTTTCACGAGGATATTCTCTCAGGGGCGACGGGTGCTATTGCAAGGGGTGATAGTGGCTAGTTCTTGGCTGCTGCATCATGGTTTCTTCCACATATTAACAGTGCTGTTTCAGCAGAGATTCTTGCTATACGGAATGGTTTATACTTAGCTGTCCATATTGGATGCTCCAAGGTGATTGTGGAGTCTGATAGCCAATTGGCGCTAGAAGCGGTGGAAATTTTTGAAAGTTATCTGGGCCAGGAAGCAGTGATTGGCATGGAGTGCAATGAATTGAAGGCAAACTATGCTTCTGTTTCTTTCGACAACTGCACACGGAAAGCAAACGCCATAGCTGATTGTCTGGCTAAATCCAGTTTTAATTCAAAGTCTAGTTCTATGTGGGATGCTACCCCTCCTGATTTTATTTCTCAACTCATTGTAACAGGCTTGGCTATTATCTAAGAAATAAAATCTTGTGATTGTCAAAAAAACAAAACAAAACAGGGGTTAAGTTACGCAAAACCAACTTAAAATAAGTAGCCAGTAACCTGGTTTGCTCTAAGCTGCTGCTACGGCCCATGAGTGAATTCATGCGGGTTTTCTTGTAAGGACGCAAAAACAGAGAGCTTGAGATTCTGTGTGAGCTTCTCTCTGCAGTCAGCATGCAGGGCAAGTTCACTTCAGTTCCATCGCCTCCCTGCATGAATCAGTTGATCACAACATTGTTAAAAAGAAGGATCAAATTCTACCAACTGATAAGTTCATCACAACATTGTCAAAAGAAGCAACCAAATCAACTAACTAATTATGGAAACACCTAGAATCTGCAGCTGCTGACAATGTTAATCCTAGAATCTGCAGCTGCTGACAATGTTAATCTAATACTCTCGAGGAAAAAACGAGATGAAACATGGATTTCATACCAGAATAATTTGTCGGTCTCTTCACTTTCCGGGTCCAACTCTAAAGCGCGCGAGAGTGCGGAATGCGCAGCATCATACTCCTAAGGAAGGCAAGCGCACATCAGAATCAACTATAGCAGATATGAAAGAAGCAATGACATCATCAGTTTGAACTTTGAACTCCATCTTCTATTGCACCTTTATGAACATTAGAGCTGTTCCTTGCCGATAGTTCACCTCTTGCCACTTTGGACGCAGCCTTTTGCATTTAGCTGCATCATCAAAAGCTCTTTGTCCATCACCCATATGAAGCCAGCAAAGGCTCCTGTTTGACAACAACTTAGCATCAAAGTTATCCATCTTACAGTGCCTGCAGCAGACAAAACAGTGAAAATGGCCAAGAAGAAAATGGGGAGAGTTTTACCTAAGTTAGTGAGAGTTAGTAAAGAGTCTTTCTGCATATCGTGCACTTGACAGCATAATTTTGGAAGCTTTTTTGCAACCAGAAGAACATTTGATAAAGGTGAGCTTTGCAACGTGCCACCAATCTTAATGACTGTCACCTCCTCTGCTTGCTAGCGAACCTCAAAGGAAAACTTCTCCCAGAATCTCCATGTAAGCTACACATATGCAAGGTTTGTTTAGCACACATTCTGGATGACAAGCACAAGTAGATCATTACCATGGATATTGAGTATACTGGCTAGCGAGTTTATAAGCGATAAGCAGCACTGGCTAGCGAGTTTACCTGGAAGTGATAAGCGACAAGCAGTACTGGCTAGCGAGTTTACCTAGAAGCGATTATTAGATTCCACCCATATGTGCTTCAGTTTGATGATTAGGCATGGTTCTGGAAATGTAGCAGTAATTCTGAGACAATGGACATCCCATATGAAATATTCTGACAATTTGTAAGTACAAAAACGCCCTGAGTTCTAGTCCCAGAGAATAGCCTTGCGGTCAGAGGAACATCATCGTTGGCAAATCTAGTTAAGCAGAGGAACTTGAACATGCCATCTTCCAATGAGATGACAATACCTCTGGTTCTGAAGATGGAAGAAAGTAACAGTTAGGATTAACCTAGCAGGCAGAAAATATCTATTTTGCTAGTCATGGACACACAATAAGGCAATTAACCGCTCTGTTTTGCTAGTCATGGACAATACCATTGTTTTTTTCTTAATAGAGGAAACGGAAAATTTCTAATGTAAACAAGGGAATCCTAACTCTTAACTATGGACAAACACTCCCACACAAAAAAAAAGGAAAGTGGGATAAGCAAGTTTTAATTATCCATTCTTCCGTGTTGATTAATCTATACCTACTATTTTTTTAATATTAAAAGAGAGGTAATATTGTTGGTTTCGTCCCGCTTCGTTTGGTCCCGCTTCAATTAATTTCACGTATGTTATTTGGTTTCGTTACTTGCCATCCATTTTGGCCCAACTAAAAAGCCCACCTGGCGGCGCACTGAGGCCCAGGTCCGGAGAGCTGGCAAAAAATAAAATTGCCGATGGGAGGGTTCGATCTCATAACCTGTGAAGCGGCCACGCACAATTTGTCCAACTGACCCAACTAGAGATATGAGAGGATTTTTTTTCTCCCGTTGCAACGCACGAACCTTTTTGCTAGTTGTAACATAACATTACAATCCACATGAGTGCTACATGTTGACTATGGTTAAGGCAAGTCAAAGTATAGGTCGTGGAGAGCCAAAGTAGTTGCTCCGATCCAGCAGGCATCCCGCCGGCGATCGAGGAGAACGGGTGGAAGAGGAGGCCTCTCCCTCCTCTTCGACCGGTTGGAGAAGCTAATGAAGATGAGCGCCATCTATAGTATCTATCTAGGTCACGGCGCTGAGAAGCCAAGGGGAAAAGGTGGACGGCCGGACGATATCTGACTAGTATTGGCTCCACCCGCGGGGCGCAAAACAACTTTTGAAATTAAACAAGTATATACTACCTCCGTCCGGGTTTATTGGACCCCTCTTATTTTGATCTAAAATTTGACTTAAACATTTAACTAACAAAATGTAAACTATATGTCACAAAAATAATATTGTTGGAAAGCTCTGTCAAATACAAATCCAACAGTATAATTTTTTATAGCATATATATACTCCCACCATAAACTAATATAAAAGCGTTTAGAATACTAAAATAGTGATTTAAACGGTTTTATATTAGTTTACAGAGGGAGTACTTTATATTTTAGTAGTATATAAATGGTCAAAATCTGGACCAAAATATGAAGGGGTCCAATAAACTCGACGGGGGTAGTACTACCACGCACTATATCATCGATCTGTTTTATCGTCCGTCTCGGATGGATGCTACGAATGAATAATAACCAAAAATAAACCGATAAGTGGAATATAAGTGGCGTCGATCATCTCGCTGGGTAGCGTAGGGTAGGGTAGGTAGCCTCTCTCTCTGGGATACATAGCATCGCCGGGATCCACCTGCTGCTGCAGCGGACCTGCTCTCCGTCTTGGGAACCAAATAAACAGACAAGTTTTGGGAACCAAATAACCAAGTCAGAGTTTTTGGCCGGCGTCGATCGTCTGGGTCTGGGTGTGGGACTGGGTCTAGAATGCATCATCAATAACAGTCATCGCCGGGATTGAGCACGTATCGCCGGCGGCGGTGCCCACCTGCAGCAGCAGCGGACTTGCTGCTCATGCCTTGGGAACCAGAAGAGAGACGTCGCTTGGAGCCACCCGACTTGTCATCTTTGGGGGGGCCGCGCTTGCGGTCTCCCGGCCCCGGAGGAGGGCCTGGCTTGTCATCTGCAGAGGGAGCTGGGGCTGGAGGCTTTGGAGGGACCGCGTAGGCCTGGATGAAAGGGAGAATGAGTCTGGACGGGATAAAGTGGGAGTGCGGTCCGCCGGAGCCGCCGTGAAGGATGCCCTTGACCCGCCGGAAAGAATCGAACAGCGGCCCTCCTGAGGAGCCCCCCTGGCTTCCCATGTACGCCTCCAGAAGAAAGAGATCGTATCCAACAGGGTTGGTGCTCATGTCAGGCAGAAACCGCTGCATGCAGTAAAGGCCCGTGGCCAACGTGCAGGGCCGGAACTCGGGCCAAGAAAGCAGCATCAGCTGGGCGGCGGCCGGCACATGGTGTGGGGAGAAGTGCGGGATCGGGTGCGGATGCGGGCACGCCTCCATCTGCCCATCGTCGTTGAACCTCAGGGGCAGGGCGCCGAGGTCCACGCGCAGCAGCATGAGGTCGCTGGCGCAGTCGATCCCGCACACCGTCGCCGGCGCGTAGGCGCGGTCGCCGACCCTCCCGCCCTCGATGAAGGCTCTCTCGGCGTGGTGGCAGGTGACCTGGACCCTGAACAGCTCGTTCACCTTGTCTGCTTGGATTGGGCTGTGCACTGCGTGAAACAAATGGTCGATGATGTGGGCGCAGGTCAGCACGTAGAGGTACCGGGCGTCGATGTGCGAGGCAAGTCCGGTCTCTGCTAACCACTTGAGTTTACGAAGTACCCTCTTCTCTTGCGCGGACTTGGTGCCGGCTTGGTCCATGAGCCTCTTGGTCTCTTTCCGCTTACCACGCAAGGGTGTGAAGAGGACGAGGAACAGGGATGGCCTCGCTTCTAGGCACAGCGGTCTCCAATCAACCATTTGCACATAAGGCAGAGCAGCCGGAGCAAGCACATCAGCCATAGCTATATATAGCTAGTACTACTGCAAGGAACAAGAAACGAACAAAAGTCAGCCAATTAATGACAAGAAGCCTGATGGCGACCAAAGTGCATGCATCAATCATCAAGGAACGAACGAAACAAACAGACAAGACAATCTGCGCAAGGAACTAAACAAACAAACAAACAAACAATCTGCACAGAGGAAGAATATATCCAACGCCAATAGTAGTTGTATGTAGCATCTTCTAAAATACTAGATACTAGTACTGTGCTAGCACTAGTCATCTCGTGTTGAAATCCCGTTGATGGGACTGCAGAGAATCTCGGCAGAAAAGCGTCCATGAATATACTCCTACAATAAGCATCCCAAGGGACAGCACTACCGGCACATCTCGTTTGGGAAGGAAACTAAAACAATCTCTCCCCAAATCAAACCATAATCCAACACTCTTGCGCGTGGAATCCAACACCCGAGCGAACGGGACAGGAATCAAACATATGCAGTCTGCCTGCCTCCGGGAAGCCGCTGATGCCTACCTCGAGGTCGAGAGTTCAAAAGGCAAGGATTCGCAACTAGTTGTAGCTATTGGACTTTGTCCTTGGAAACAAAATGGCACCTCCCGGGCGGGGCCTCTCTTTGGATTCTAGCACCGCCACGCTTGCGAGCAAAAAGTGCAGCGACCACGCCCAAATAAAATCACCGGAAAGTACTAGCTCTCTCGCTTCGGCGTCGGAGCAACACGGGAAGCCGCGCCGCCACATCCCCTTCCCTACCCCTCGCGTTCGAGATATCAAAAGCAAGCCCCAAAAATCCCTAGCGAAGAAAGGATTCGCAGCAGGAACAAGTAGTACACTTGGCCATTTCGAAGGAAAAATCTCGCGAGCGCAAGCCCAAAATCGGAGCCCCGAACCCAACATTCCCTCGAAAAAGCTCGAGCCCGAACAAAATCGCCGAAAAAACAAGGGTCGGCAACAACTCCAAACAACATAGCGGAGTCAATCGCCCGAATCACCTCCCAAATCGAACCCCCCGCGCCCAGAAGAAGAAGGAAGTTGCGATCCACCTCGCGCGCCTCCCTCTCGCTTCGGCGTGCGCTCCTCGTCAGGCCATGGAGGCCAGCACGGCGAACCGCGCCGCCGCATTCGTCCAGTTCATCGGCAAAAACGCCAGAAAGACCATCATCCTCCGAGAGAAAGAGGAAGGTGGAGCGGAGATATCACGCACCTTCGAGTGCTCCTCCTCGCGCCTCGTGCCTCCTCTCGCCCTCGTCCTCGCCGTCGCCGTCGCCCTCGGCCGGCCGCCTCCCCTCCGAGTATTGCTGGAATTTCTCTTCCGGATGCGGCAACGAGAGAGAGAGAGAGAGAGAGAGAGTAAAGTAAATGAGGGTGATTGGGGCCGGGGCGCCGCTGCGTGTGGTTACCGGTCCCTAATGGGTCGGATCGCAAGGGGGCTCTCATCTTAACCTGTTCGGCCCTTCGCGTGTCGTGTGCCTCTGACTTCTCCGCCCCTAAACGGGTAGGGTTTCCGCCTCTGGTCTGACCCGTGCGGCCGGAAAAGATTTACTCTATGCATCTATCCAAAATTTTACTAAATCAAATAGTACTGCGTAGTACATTTATTTTGGGTTATGATGTTCAGGTGAAGATTTGACTTGTGATTTTGACCGGGTCAACATTCTCTGGAACACACTCTCGTTCAATTGAGGTGTTTTTAGTGTTCATTTGTGATTTTGGTTGGATCATCGATTTTTCATCGATCCACAGCAAAAGGCCTATAAAACACATCAATCTGGCACCCTCAAGTATGACTTGATTAGCAGATAATGTAGAATCATACAATTGAAAAACCCATCAAAATATTTGCATCAGCAACATTCGCGCATCGCTCTTCTTTACATGGCTGCAATTCATGGTATGAAAAGGAACTTCACTTGATTGCTTACCCTATAACAACAACAACAACATCCCCTAACAACAACAACAACAACAACAACAACAACCCCTAACAACAACAACAACCACCACCACCACCACCATCAACATCCCCTAAAACAACAACAACAACAGCATCCCCTAACAACAACAACAACTATAACAACATCCCCTAAAAACAACAACAACATCCCTTAAAAAACAACAACAAAGCTTTTAGTTCCAAACAAGTTGGGATAGGCTAGAGGTGAAGCCCTGCTGTAAGAATATGGGTTGGTTTCATGCTCACAACCCATTCTTAGAACCTGGTAAGAATTGGTGGATTCTCAGGGCTTTTGCATTTTCAACCGTCCGATTGGTTGTCCAAAGCAATCCCAGCCGTTGGATCTTCACATGATCGAGTATGATGTGAAAATCATTGAATAGTGCCCGAAGTTGCTACAGCCGCTCTACCACGCTGGCTCTCCATGACACATAGGTCCTAGGCGGGGTGCGCTTTGCTCCGTATGTAGTCCATATGAAATTTCTAAAAAGACTCATATTTAGGAATGAAGGGAGTATGTTTCTGTGCATTTTTGTTGCTGGTTGATATGTCTAATGTATCTATAATTTTTTATTGTTCCACGCTGTTATATTATCAATCTTGCATGTCTTATAATCATTTCATAGTCATTTTATATCATTTTTTGGTACTAACCTATTGACATAGTGCCAAGTACCAATTGTTGTTTTCTGCATGTTTTTTACATCGCAGGAAATCAATATCAAACGGAGTCCAAATGCAACGAAACTTCACGAAGATTTTTTTTGGACCAGAAGACACCTAATGGGCCCTAGCTCGCCTGGGGGGAGGGGGGTGCTCTGAGGAGAGCATACCCCACGAGGGCGCGCCAGGAGGCCTAGGCGTGCCCTGGTGGGTTGTGCCCACCTCGGGTGCCCCCGGACCGCCTCTTGCTGGGGAACGTAGTATTTCAAAAATTTGCCTACGATCACGCAAGATCTATCTAGGAGAAGCATAGCAACAAGCGGGGAGGGTGTGTCCACGCACTAGTAGAAAAGGGGGCAACGGTCCAGGCCGGGTCAGCCCATTAGTCCCGGTTCAATCTAGAACCGGGACCAATGGGGGCATTGGACCCGGTTCGTGAGCCCAGGGGGCCGGCCGGGCCACGTGGGCCATTGGTCCTGGTTCGTCTGGAGCTTTTGGTCCCGGTTGGTGGGACGAACCGGGACCAATGGGCCTGGCTCCTGGCCCACCACCTTTGGTCCCGGTTCGTGGCATGAACCGGGACCACAGGCTCCCCTTTAGTCCGGTTCATGCCACGAACCGGGACTAAAGGGTTCGCCCTTGTTGCACCCAGAGTTTAGTCCCACCTCGCCAACCGAAGGCCGTCCACACCTGCTTATAAGCCCGTCCCTCTCTGCGTTGTTGAGCTCCTCTCAAAGTGAAAATAGATGCACCTATAAAGGAAAATTGGACCTAAATTCATAAATAGAAATGAATTATGAATTTATGTTTAATTTTCTCTATAAGTGCATCTATGTTCACTAACAGAGAAGTTTTTATTTTTTGTGACCTAAAAGAAAAAAGAAATCACTAAAAAACTATAAGTATTTAGTTCTAAGTAGAAATGGAAAAATAAATAGCAAAAAAGAAAAAAATGCTTATAATATTTGTAAAGTTATTCATAAACTAGTGATTCACACAAATTTAAAAAAAAAATCAAATTTAAACTATTCAAATTTTAAAACTAATGGCACTAACAGAAAGTTTATAATTTTTGTGACCTAAAATAAAAAAGAAATCACTAAAAAACTATAAGTATTTAGTTCTAAGTAGAAATGAAAAAATAATGGCACTAGTAAAGTTAATCACAAACTTGAGATTCACACAAATTTCAAAGAATTCAAATTTTAACTATTCTAATTTGAAAACTAGTGGCACTAGCAAAGTTAATCACAAACTTTAGATTCACACAAATTTCAAAGAATTCAAATTTTAACTATTCTAATTTGAAAACTAGTGGCACTAGCAAAGTTAATCACAAACTTGAGATTCACACAAATTTCAAAGAATTCAAATTTTAACTATTCTAATTTGAAAACTAATGGCACTAACAGAAAGTTTATAATTCTTGGTATCTCTGTGCAGAAAGATTGTACATAGTAAATATAATACACAAAGTGTTTTCACACAAATAGTAAAGTTATTCATAAACTAGTGATTCACACAAATCTTAAAAAATTCAAATTTAAACTTTTCAAATTTTAACTATTCATAAACAAATTTTGTGACCTAAAATAAAAAATAAAGCAAAAAACAAAAGAAAATGAATAATGCAGAAAACAAAAAAAAATCTGGAAAAAATACTTATATTAACAATAAGTATTTTGTTATAAGTAGAAATAAAATAAAATAAATAAAGCTAGTGATTCACATAAATTTCAAAGAATTCAAATTTAAATAATTCAAATTGGAAAATTAATGGCACTAACAGAAAGTTTATAATTTTTATTACCTAAAACCAAAAATAATAACTGAAAAACTAGTAAGTATTTTGCCGTTAGTAAAAAAACAAAAAACTGGATTTTTTTTAAAAATGCCGCCTACTGGGCCACCATAGCCTGCATACGACTAGAAACCCGCCACTTGGGCCAGGATGCAGGCCCACAGTAGGCCCAGTAGGCCCACAGGCATAGAGAGTGGATTTAGGCCCGTAAGCCTGCAGTTGAGAGGAGCTCGAAGTGGTCGGCTCCGCAGGGCTTATAAACCACTCCGAGCCCCTCTCGGCTAGTGAGGTGGGACTAAACATCCCAACGGACCGCGGCAGTTCCAGTACACGCCCTTTGGTCCCGGTTGGTGGCACCAACCGGGATGAAAGGGCGCCTTTGGTCCCGGTTCATGGCACCAACCGGGACTAAAGGCCGCTGCTTCCCGCCCTTTGGGCTGCCGAAAAGTGGCCTTTGGTCCCGGTTCGTGGCACAAACCGGGACGAAAGGGGTGCATTGGTCCCGGTTTGTGCCACGAACCGGTCCCAATGGCTTTGCTATATAAGCAAAGACTTGGGAAATTTTCACATTTCCCTCGCA